AGGATAATCTACTTTTGTAGAGATACCACTACCTTGGAAACCCAAGGAGGGCTTGCTATGAGTTGAATTGACTTGATGGCAGTGAGTTTTGTTTTTTTTTTTAGAAGATGTAAAGGGCTCCAGTGGAGTAGTGGTTAAGGCATTTGACTGCTAACCAAAAGGTCAGTGCTTCAAACCCACCAACCATTCCACGGCAGAAAGATGAGGCAATCTGCTTCTTATAAAGATTTATAGTCTTGGAAACCTCAGTGTGGGTTGCTATCAGTCGGAATCAAGTCTATGGCAGTGAGTTTGGTTTCATTTAGACTATGTAGGTGAAATACAAAATTATTATAATAATATATTTATATCTGAGGTATTTATTTACTTAAAAAGATTTATTTTAATTGTTACTGTTAAGAATAAGGCGCCCTGGTAGCAGAGTGTTTAAGCACTTGGCAGTTAGAACCTACCAGTCATTCTTCAGGAGAAAGATGTGGCAGTCTGCTTCCATAAAGATTACAATGCTGGAAACCTCGTGGAAGAGTTGTTCTTCTCTGCCCTGTGGGTCACTGTGAGTCAGAACCGACTAGATGGCAGTGGGTTTGTTGAGAATATATGCATGGAACAGTCTACAATTCAAGTTTCTACAGGTGCAATTCAGGGACTGATTCATTCTTCCAGGTGTGCTGCAACCATTCTCACCTTCCTTTTCTGAATTGGTCCTCTCCCATTTACATAAACTCACTGCCCCCTAAGGTTCCTGCCTAATCTTTCAAGTTGCTGTTGTCATTTTGATCTCAGAGAGAGTTCTTAAAAGAGTATAATAATTAAAATTATTGTTTTATTTTTACGAAAGTTAGTTTTAGAGAAGTGGCCAGCTTTTTGTGGAGGCAGTAAAGGAGTCTGGTGTGCTTGAGTCTGCTCCTCAGTCAGCTCTGGGTACCAAAGGAGGTGAGAAGTTAGGTAGCCTCCCAGCCTGCTTTGCTGTTTGATGGTCGGGGTGACAGTGCAGGCAGTGCCAGTGCTGAGGTTGTGCAGTAATCACAGAGGAGGTCTTTCTGCACCAGTAAGCCCACAACCACAGGTCACGGAAACACTGCCTGCCAGAAGGTGGCTCTGAGAACTGGGACTTGTTCTTGGAGGCTGCTGGGAAGCTTCTAAATTGAACTGATGTTTTAGAGCAGAGGTTTTCATCCTTGGCTGTGTTTGGAAATCACTTGGGGAGTTTTTTTTTGTTTTTTTTTTAAATCCCGGTGTCCTTTTTTTTTTTTTTTTTTTAAATCCCGGTGTCCAGTTTCACCCCAGACCATCTGTATTAGAAGGTCTGCGGAGGAACACTGACATCAGCCTGTTCTAAAGCACCCCAGGTGTTCTCAGCATACAGCTAAGTTTGAGAACCATTGTTCTGGGGAGGAAGGAGGCTTGTTACTGTTTCTGGAGACCTCACAGCCACCCTTTGCCCCACACTCAAGGCATTGTTAACTCAGAGACCCACTGGTGCCTCCCAAATTAATGGTTCTGACAGGACTGTGCATAAATAAAGAATTACTCAGAGAACTTATTAAAAATCAGTGTGCCTACCCCTGACCTCTGGTAGCGTAGTGCCTAAGGCACTTGACTGCTAACCAGAGGGCTGGTGGTTCAAACCCACCAGCCACTCCTCGGAAGAAAGGTTGGGCAATCTACTTCCGTAGTGATACTGCCTCAGAAACCCAAGGAGAGGTCGCTATGAGTCGAGTCCGACTCCATGGCACATAACAACAACAACAACACCCCTGACCCCCAGTGTCCTTTTACAGTAGTTCTGAAGCTGGTTCCAGGAGTGTCCATTTTAAGCAAGTGTCTTGGGTTGATTGTAAAGTACGTAGTCCATTTGGGGAAGCCTCTGGATAGTGCTTTAGAGTTTCACAGGCTTCCTTTGCTTAATCTTGGCATTGTGTCATTTCTTGATGGTCGTTTAGTCCTGTGCCCTCTGATCAGAAATGGTCCTTATAACTTTTCTGTCTCTTTTTCCATGTATGAAGAATATGTGTTCTTCTCTACTGCCCTGAATGCGGTGGAAACAAATGTTATGGAAACAAAAAAGAAACACATAAGCACAGGGAAATATTTTTGACATTGAAGGTGATTTGGGAGGGGTCCAGAAAATAAGGACTGTAATTTTTATCTCCTGAATATTGGTACTGTATTCCAAAATACGGGAGCTCTGGTAGCATAGTGCCTAAGGCACTTGACTGCTCACCAGAAGGCTGGCGGTTCAAACCCACCAGCCACTCCTCGGAAGGAAGGTT